ATGCAAGAGGGGACATGGCAAGTAGGGATGCACTTGAGGATGAGAGGGTGACAACCTGTGCTCCTCACAATCTAATCATTGGAGGGTTTAGCACAGACATTCAGATAAGTAATGGGAGGAAGATCCACATAAGCCTTGGGAGAGAGGCCAGGCTATAGCCAGTCTCCAGTTGAACCCAATGCCTATGTGGGCTGCATCTAAGAGAAGGAAGAATAAGGTGCTACATATGGCATTAACCAGATCCTTTCCGAAGAGAACATCCCTTTTGGGAGCATTAACACCAGATGTCTGAGAAACAGACCAGGGTATACAGAAGCAGCATGGGGATGAGTTGGGGGCAGAAGAACTAGTTTCACCGTAACTCAGCAAGCTCAGGTTTTTTGTTGGATTTTTTTTTTTGTTAATCAAAGGATGACTTAATTAGTCTGTAGGCACCTACCTAAAGAGAGGATATGTGGTAGCACCTGGCTAAAATCGAGAGATTGGTTTGAAATCATGAGATCTGATGTGATGCTTGGTGAAATTTGTTTGCCAGGATTTTGAACATCCCAAGTAAGTTTGCATTCGTGATCTCCAGCTTCTCTTTACATGTTCACCCCTTTCCTTGATAATAGAATAATGAAAGAGTAAGGCAAGCAGGAAGCTCAGGTCACACTGAGTCCAACCCCCTGCTTTGGGCAGGATCATCCCCATCTAAACCACTCATCCAACCACCCTCCAAGTGAGAAGGATCTTCCAGGTATCCAACCTACACTTCTCTATAGTTTACTTGCTACTGAAGATTGTTACTCCTTGCCCCAAACCCTGGAGCTAAGGAGAAGAGCTTATCACTATCCCCTACCCCACACCTAGGTGAGGACCATTATCAAATTCTCCCCTCCCACCAATCTGTGATCAAAACATGACCATTTCTTCTTTCAAATCACAAGACTCTGAGTCAAGACTTCATCCAAGGGCTGTGAGACTGTACAGTAGCAAACCAGTTAATGCTGCTTGACATCTTTCTTTCTCCTATTTCATGCTATTTTTCCTGCAGGCCTGTGAAGTTAACAACCCTCCACTTTCTCCTATTTGCAATGGAGGGGCAGCAGTTTCTCCAGCTGCAGGACTGCAACTCTGTCGTCCTTACCTATAAGGGCTTTGTTCCCCCACCCTAAACTTCACCTCCCTTTGTTGTACCTTGATGAGGCTTGCTATGTGCCAACACCCTGCTATCCTGTATGTGAACCTAAATACAGCATAACTTACAGTAGTGCTACCCTTGCAAGGCTCTGTTGTCCTGTCTTGTTTGTTCTGCTTCACCACAGAGTCCCTCCTGGCCCAGTGGGGTCCTCAAATGCCTCCCATTTGAAACCCTACGTTTCCAAGATAACATACTTTCACACCCACCCCCCAGATAATTGTATAGGAAGTCAGTTTTCCACCTGCATTTGAACAGAACTGGACTAACACATCGTAAGACAAATACAATGGTAACCAATATGTCTCTTAAAGGTTCTGCTATTAGCTATGTCGTGGAAACACACGCAGTATACTTTTGGGTCAGGTCAGCAGAAGCTTTTATTTAAATGAAAGCTACAGCTGTAGGGGGGACTCCAAAGTGACATGGATTTCCCAAGCCCTTGGAGCAAAATCAGGAGGCTTATATACTTTTTAACAGTCGCTTACAACTCACATGACCATATAGTCGAATTTGCTAGAAAAAGAAGCTACAAACACTACCTCATTACTGCTTGGCTGTTATCAGGATGGGAATTATGGGGAAGACAAGGTTAGTTCACGAACCTCCTTCTTGTACCTGGAAATCAGAGTTGTACATACTTTTTTTTTTTTTTTTTCTTTTCTGCTACCTTCAAGGCCACAGTGAGCAAAGCAGTTGCAGGGGAGTTACAAAGAACAAACACTTTCCCTTATCTGTTCTACTATACAGAGCCAGCAATTCCCCACAAAGCGGTTATGTCATCTTATAACTCGTATGATCAAAGTTTAAGGCATTTATTTTTTTTCTGATTCCACAGCTAGCAGCAGCTGAAGTCAGTGGCATTCACATAGGTCCCTACACTGAGATCAGCTGACCAAAAACTATCTATCTATCAATCTATCTTCCAATTTTAAAAGCTGCTACCTCCCAAAAAATCATCTCCAAAGCATGGATAGGCTCAAAGGATGCCCTGCCTTCCTGGAGAACCAGCCTTCATATCTAAGGAGTTAAGCCTCTAGAGTCTAGAGACGTATTAAAGTGGAAGCCAATAGTCTGCCAGGAGGGAAGTGTCTAGTGAATTTAAGGTAGGAAATGCCCCCAGCTTTTCTGCCAGAGCCTCTCCTAGAAAAAGAGGGAGGAGAAATCAGCTGGGCTGTGGGAAGCCCACAGTAGGGGAGCAAACACCAAAACAGTTTTCCAGGGAGTGTCAGACAAATGCTCTGCATTGCACCAGCCTTTGTAAAAGGGAAGGAGGCTGACCCTGAGGGGTGTCCATGGAGTCCCAAGAGCTCTCCATCTCATCCTCAGCTATGGGGCTCCATTCCCTTCATCTGCATCCAGGCACACCCTGAGGATTGCTGCATTCTTCTCCAAAGCCTTGGGGCTGGCATTAGATACCATTTCCCAAGCACTGGATGAAAAATGCTCCAAACACTGACCATAGGAAGCTCTGTTGGAGCACACCCATCTCAAGCAGTTGTGCTGAGACAGCCTCAGGCCAAGCCAATTCTGGGATAAGCCACAAAATCCTGATCCCTTCCCAGGACAGAGCCTGGGATCTCCAGGTCATCAATGCAACACTCCTTGACGAGGCTGACTTCCTCCCTCTGTCAGGACTCCCTGTCTGGATTTTGTGGGGGTGGGGGGAAAAGAGGAGAGAAAAATCTCATTTTTAGCTTCTGTTTGGTCTCAGTTGCTTCCAAGTCAAAAGGCTGAAGCCATAGCGAGAGAGATTGTGGCACTGCTACAGGTATTGGGAGCAGCATTTGATTGACAAACTGGATGTCCCAATGGAGCTCATTAAAACTCAGCCTTGGCTGTCCCATGGGAGGCCTCGGTGCTAGGCTGCTCAACCCGAATTTAGCCCCTTGATGTTGTGCCATTAGAACGCAGTGGCTGCCTTGCTGACAAGCGCAACACGCTGTGTTGGCGGCTGCGTTAATGCCATTCTGAGCCGCAGATGCTTTTCCTGCTAATGACAAGCCGCGGCACGAGGCTGACTAGAAGGTGGGTCAGTCTGCGTTTGAAGAACCCCAGGCAGCTTATAGCCGGATTATTCATGAAGGGCTCTCTGCCTGCACACTCTCTCCTCTCCCTTTTTTACTCTTGTCCCCAACAGCCAGTTCTGCAATTCATGCACCACTGGATGAAAAGGCCATTGCACAAAGGCAAAAAAGCCTTTATTTGTTCCAAGTCCAGCATATGCCAACATTGGAGGAAGAGCCAACCTGGGAGCAGCAGTACCATCTGGGGTTGGTGCAGGCAGGAGATGGGGGTAAAAAGGGAATGGTGTGATGGAGGAAGATCCAGGACAGGTAGGAGCCAGAGACAGAAGCAGGGCTGATCTCTTGGAGCCTCTGCACCAAGGGGCAGTTCCAGATTCTGGCTTAGACAGCCAGACTGGAGCAACAGTCCAATGCAACAGGGTATGCTGTGGACATCCATTATTAGCACTGCCCTGATGCTACCTGTGACACCCCTGCTAGGGACAGCAGGAACAAAGCTACCCCTACAGCAACAGGAATGTTTTGACCCCTCCACACAGATACATGTCTGACTATATGCATGCACACCCTGGGCATCTGGGTGAGAGGCAGAGTTTGAAGTGATGGGGGCTTGAGGCACATGAAGTTTGCAAACTCCCTGAGAGCAGAAAGCAGGACATGAGGAAGAATATCAGCAGTGATTATCATACCATCTGCACCCCAAGGGCAGGGAGAGATCTCCAGGAGATGACTGAAAATGGCTAGTCCTTTGCATCCATCAACGCGGGGCAGGCTTAGATGTATAGTAAGAATGGCTATTGGCTAGCGGTCCATTAGCACGTGAAAGCTGCCAGGGCCTCAGAGCCATGCAATTGAATCTCCCTAGATCTCTGTAGTTATGGCCCAAAGCTTTTCAATTGGGGGAGGGTGTTACAAAAAAAAAATGCATGGCTCCCCACCATGCTGGGTTTGCTCCCTGCCCTCCAGGTAAAACAAGTTCTGGACAAAGCCCTTTTCCCAGCTGGAACCTAGATGGGGACAATGAGGCAAAAGGCCCAGGGTTTCCCATCAGGGCAGTAGCAGAGCTGACAGCAGGAGTCTAGACTCTACAGTATCCAGACCAGAGCCACAGCCAGGCTTCAGATGGGGCAAATCAATCCAGTACCAGTCACTTTTATGCAAATCCAGCATGTCAGGGAGCTTGTTAAAGTTATCTGAGGTGCTCAGCAAGGCCTGGGCTCTGATCCCACAGGTCCCGTGATGTAGCCTTATACTGGAGGTTTGCATCAGTCAGTCTATGCTACTACAACAAGGGCATATGCAGACAAGATCTAAGTCCACACTGCAGACAGATGAAGTACAGAACTTCTGCAGCTCCTCAAACAGCATCAGGTCTCTATGCATCTTGTAATTGAGCAGAAGCAGCTACTTCTGGAGAAGGCCAAGCCCATTTTAGAGGGAGGAAGCAAGAGGGACAATGTAGAAACAAATCTTCCTCAAGTTTTTAGTTGCAGCCGTGCTGGTCTAAGGACATAGGCAGACAAGGTTCTTTGAGATGTGATATCTTGTATTAGTTGGTCTAATAAAAGATATCACATCTACTCAAAGAACCTTGCCTGGTCTTCTTCCTCAAGCCATTCAAGCAAGGCAAAACCAGGGGAAGCCTTTGCAATTAGGCCAGAGGCAGATATAAGGTTTCCCACTGTGTCACCTCCCTCTCAAATGTGGGGAAATGGCTCCTTGCCTTTATTGCCCATTCCTACCTTTTAGAATTGTGAATAGCTGGGAGCTGGACTAGACCAGGTTTCACTCACCTGTCTAGAAGTCTGGGCCAGCCATGAAACAACAGCTCTTTGCTCCCTCCAGTGATGAAGTAGCAAAACTGCAAGCATCCCATCCACAGCCTGGAACAGAAAATGATGGGAGCTCCTCAATAGCAGCCTTTTGACAGCTGCTTCCCCTCCACTGCTTTAAGTCACAGTGAACTCAGGTTACAAAGACAATAGTGCAGCCAAAAGGGACTGACGTACAAGTAGCAGGTGTTTTAGGATACAAGCAACCGGTAGAACATTTAGACTGGTGTTATAAAGTTAGGTGAATTGTATATCCTTATCTGGCCTACCTATAAATAGGATTCAAGGTGGCTGCAATAATTACAATGGCAACAGCCTGGAAGAGAAGTTACACCCCTAAAAAAAGTGATTGACTGTTTTTAAAACTTTTAGAAAGATTTAGTAATGGAAAAATGGAAAATGTCTAATTAAAATCTATGTTCTACAGGGGAGAAGGGAAAAAAATTATTAACTTAGGAATTTGGTGGAAATGCTTGTAGTAGACTAGGAGAAAAAAGTCTTCTGCCACATCAGGAAGTCTTTTAACTACTGAAAACAAGCGCTAGTTCTAGGACCTAACTTTTTGGGGAGGAGGGATATTGGAAGAAAATCAAAACTCTAAAAGCATAGGTAATTAGAAGAAAGTGAGTTTTGCATTATGCAGAGTTCTGAGAAAAACGGGGGTGGTGAATTTAAGCATGATACATTTAGAGATGAAATACACAAGCTTAACATCAACTGAAACATGAAAGGAATGGTCAGAAACTGAAAGGAAGGGAAGCGAACACAAGACTTCTCTGTGGACACTGACTTGGGGTGAAGGAGCACCATTAACAGAAGGCATTAGACTGGTCTTTAGTTGTCTTTTATGGGATTGCATGAAGCTTTAAATGTTGCATTTGTCACTTTATTAACAAATCCAACTTTATCCAGAAAGTCAAAATAAGTGGAGTGCACAGCAATAGTGTTTTGAAGCAAGCCAAACTGTGCTCATCTACATGGGGACCAGAAAACCCAATAAGCTCAGGTGTGAGCTGACAGTGCATCATCTACTCTGCACTAACTCACTCCCAACAAAAACACCTGGTTCCCAGAAAGGGCTTGGTAGCTAAGGGCACTCTCCAAGTGCAGTGAGCTCCTCTGCTCTTCCTGCTAACAGAGTCCATTAGAGGTGTGGCTGAACAGTGCTTACATCAGGGGCAGGCAATTATTTCGGGCAGAGGGCCACTTACTGAGTTTTGGCAAGCCATTGAGGGCCACATGACAGGCAGCCAGGGGCAGATAAATATTAATTCTAAATTTTTTAGGGGCCCCGTGGGCCGGATAGAATGGCCTGGCAGGCCACATCTGGCCCCCAGGCTGCATTTTGCCCACCCCTGGCTTACATTCATGCCACGCCTTGCTTCACAGTTTTCCTTCTTGCAAGCAAGCCCTTTGTTTCCAAGAAGGGAAGGTGGGGACCATTAATTGTGAGCAGGTGTTTAGTTTGACCTATGAAGACCCAACAAGGAGAAAACTTTTAGCTGGAAACTAAGAAGTCAACATGTGTCAAGCAGTATCATGCATCTGTGGTTGCAAGCATTATCGGGAGACATTATGGACTACAGGGGCAGGGAACCGGTGCTCTGAGCAGTTGCTGGAACTCTGGAATAAAATTAACTAGCTCAAATCCTTTAAGGGCCTGGAGTGAGTTTGGGAGATGCTAGCTAGAGCTTCTTTGCTTACAAAGCAAATAGAGCCACACTTCCCCCAAAGGACAGCTCACTCCCACAGGGGACTAGGGCAACAAGAACAGGTGAAGCAGCAACAGAAAGCAGCCTGTGTCCCCATTACAAGCCTGAATTCCCAGCATTTGCTGACACCTCCTGAAATGAAGTCTGTCAGCAGCATCTCTCCAGCTGCACCTCCCGAGCTCATGAGATCAGACAGCGCACTTATGTAATGGGCTTAGGCGGCCGCCCTAAGAACGGAGTTGCCCGCACTATTGGATTTAAAAAGTTAGTGAAGTTGTCTGAATCTGCCACCAAGCACCAGCACACCAAGACTCTGAACGAAGACAGTCCTGATACAGGGATTCAACAAGTACTTGACAGCAGCTACACCTACACCCAGAGCCAAGATTCGTCACATAGCTCATGGTCAAAACTAAGCAGTGCACTGACACCCAGTGGCAAAATAATACATTACCAATACTGCCTTATTGCAAAGGAACATCATACAAAAAGGACTGGAAGGATCTTAGGAAAGCATCTACCTCTTGCTTAAGGCAGAATAAGCCCTGATCAGCAGGGATCCTGGTTTTCTCCTATTTAAAAAAAAAAAAAAATCCACAATTTTTGGTTAAAAAAGTAACCCCAAATTCACATTTTTCCATCATTAAAATGAAACACCATGAAGATTATAGATAGTGGTGTATTACTTTAATCATGGGAAAATGTGGACTTGGGGTTAGTTTTTTAACCAAAAATTGGGGATTTTTTTTTTTTTTTTTTTTTTTTAAAGTCAGAGAAGACCAGGATGCACCCAAGGCTCTCCCCCTTATTTTACCCTTGATTCTCCGCTATGGAATAAATGGAGCAATTCTGTTGCAGACCACAGGACAGGCCATACTTTTGACAGTCTGGATTCCTACTGAAAATCCCTGGTTTTATTCTGTGAATCATGTTTAGGTGTTTGCACAATTAACAGTGCTAATATTATGCACCACCCTTAAAAGGATCTCACAATACTTCCATTGAGAATCATTTGTCTAACCTATTCTTAAAAAAAACCCAGAAACAACCCTCATACTCATCTCCCAGCTGCAAGACCTGGAACAGCCAAAGTACCCTTGAACTTCTGAAGCAGGAGGACAAGGTAAAAGTCCTGCATTCACAAGACCAGAAAGCAGTTTGTCAAAACACTCACATGGGGAATGCATGTGGAAGCTTAGCATGTTACAGCTTTGGAATAGCTCCGTTCTGGGAGACATGCCTCACAAGCAACCATCTCCCTATTCTAGTAGGGATAGGAAAGAATTTCTGGGTATAGATGGCCAAAAAAAAAAAGAAAACTCAAAGGAACTACTGGTTTTCAAACATCACAGCCCCTGCTTTTTGAGGAAAAGCCTTTGGGCAGGCATGAATTCCCCCAGAAACCTCTGCAGCATATAGATATCTCCGATACCTGACAGCACCCCAAATTCATTCAACAGCACTGACAGTGAGAGTAGATTAAATTTGTGGTTCTTAACTTCTTAACCTTGTTAGACCTAATCACTAGCTCTAAATTATCACTCATTTTTGATTGCACAAATATATAGAGAGAGCAATCCTTCTGTTGCTAAACCTCAGACCACAACAGGGCAGAAAGGAATCCAGTATCAAAACCATGGTGAAATCTCTTGTGAATCCTAGGTAGGCATTTGCATATCTGACAACACTAATATTGCATGGCACCCCTGCAGTACCCTGGTTAAGAAACTACAAATTAAACCACTCCCAAATGCTAAATGTAGGATCTCTCCACTCCAACCAACTGTCCTTCTAGCCTTAGTCCTCAAACTGAAGGTTAGACCACCTCTTTCACTTGCAACTCTGGCTAATGGGGCATTCAGTGCAATGCAAACACCTACTAACCATGCACTTCTTGCTAAAGCCAAGAATTCAAGCTCTCATGACCTGGAAGATGGTCCAATGGAAGGAGCTAGAAAGAAGTAAGGCTGGCACTTGATCAATCTTCCAACCAACCAAGTCTCTAGGAGTGGAAAGACTAGCTCCTCCCCTTGTCCGCCTTACTCAATCAGGCAGGGTTAACCACCAGTTTTGCAAGAATCTGTATGCAAGAACAAGTGTCCTTTCCTTTCCCCACAGTCCCCAAGCAGCTCCCTCCAGTCAGGGCTCCTCACTTCCTCACTCATACAAAGTGTTTGAAGAAATCCCACCCTTGAGCAGCTACCTCGAATAGACCAAAAAACAACTCTCTATCTAGGGGAAAGAAGCAGCAACTCAGTAGGAATCTTAACCCATTTATAAGGTATCAGTCAAAAGGCTGCCTTCTTCCTCTAAGCTGGGCATAAAAGCTACTGCTGTTCCTTACACTAAACTTACTTTTTGGAGACAGTTTGACATACCTGCACCTATAAGGAAAGCACCTTTCTATAGTACCATCACTCCCATGCCTACCCTAAACACCCTGAGAAGGAAGCAGAGAGAAAAGATTAGTCAGGGTTGACCAAGGCACACAGTCAGGCTTTGCAGTTCACACTAGGATCAGTTAGGGACTTAGCAGAGTGCAAGGAGCCAAGATCACAGACACAATTCAGTTCATTTTCCAGGGTGCAAAGCCAAGGATACAGTCAGTACAAGCAGTCAATAATAGCCAGAAGGCCCTAGAGAAGAACAAGCCTACCCAGGCTCAAGCAAATAGGCATAAAACAGCATCTTACCCACAGCACCAGACTTTGAGTGACTCAAGTAAAGACCCTGCCTCTATCAGGCACCAAGACATAGCTAGCCATGTTAGTCTGAAGTCAAATAGAAGGTAGCATCAGCTTCTGAACCCTAAGCCTCTAGCAAAGCAATATAAATTTCTGCCATTTGAGTATCATGGGTAAAAGGTACCAGCTCGTTAAAAGTGAAATCTTACTCTGGGCAGACCAATCACTTGAGAATATGTAACATGCAGGAGAGTGGATTCCTTCTGCAAAAAGGAGCTGCATCTTAGAGACAGCACAGCACAGGTAGGCAGGTACTTTCTGGTAGGACTCAGATCGGCTGTGTTCGAGATCTCAGCTTTATTACCTGCTGGTGGGACTCCTAAGAGGAAAAGGGGAGGCAGAGACAAACACCAGTCAGTAGAAGCATATCAGGAACAATTCAACTGTATTGTCTCAATTACAGTAACCCGAGCTTGGCTCTCCTTCTTCCCAGTGTGGTATAAAAGAGAGGGGAGACGGTCACCATGCCCAAGGGCCTATGTTCTTAATAGACAGACCAAGCCAGGCCAATGGCAGTGGACACTTGGGTAAAATAGAAACAGAACTGGGTAATCATTTTTAGCTTACTAGTTACCCAAACCTTTTCATTACTCCTCTGTATCTCTACTAGGTATTCCAGTTGCATATCAGAAGCATTAGAATTTGAACACAAACCACCCAAACCTCAATACCACCAAACATCTAACCAGATACTATCCTACCACTCATAAGAGGCTAAATAGGTACCATGTGACCTGAGGTGACCAATGGAAGCCACTACAATGAGGGCTATAAAGCCCTCCCACTTCCTACAGAGCACTTTTGCAGCAGCTGCAGCTTTGGAGGGTGCTGTTCTCTTGGTGGTTCTAGCCTTAATAAATCTGCTCCTGACCAAATGCTTGGCCTGACTTTGATCTGAGCTTAGCACCCTGGACTTGGAAGGATACCTAGCTTTGACCCTGGCTGCTTATGTTCTGGTAAGCCCCTAACTCTGATTGTGGTGTAACCCCCTATGCCTGGCTATGGCTTAGTTAGCTGTGACACCTTGCCTGCCTTTAACACTGTACTATTTGTAATCAAACTGCAAAGACCTAAGGCCACTTAAAAGAGCAATCCACCAAGCACTTAAGGCCCAGTCAACATGCCTAGCTTTGCTGGCAAAATGGGCAGTATCTACTCTCAGCTCCATGGAGCAATGGAACCCTTGGTTTTGCCAATAGGGATAAATCACTGCCGTAAGGTTCCTGCCATCATCCATCAGCTGGCAGAAGGTACATGTAGACGTTCCCATGCCTCTTACTTGCTCTGTAGGCTTTTTTACAACTTCCCAGAAATGCTCAGCAGAGCATAGTGATACTTGGCAACATTTAAGTGTCCTTGAAGGTCCTCCACTTGTCTCTATCAGTCACAGCTGCCTTGGCAGCAGCTGTGTAGTTAGTTTCCCCTTCCAGGAGATGAGATTTTCTGGTTTTGGGTGCCCCTACAAAGGAGTGTGAGCTGCTGGAGCCTTATGCTGTGCCCAGATGCTGATTCCTCCAGGAAGGAGCTCTTGGTTTCAGACCCCTGTCCTCTCCTATGTTCCCAATTGCTGTTGGCAGTGGCTGAGACCCTGCACCTGCAAGAGGACCCTGTGCAGCACATGCTGAAGCAGGGAACTAGGAGGAGGTGTGCAAGGGCTGGGGAATGCATGTGCAGGAGTGCTGCCAAAATTCAGGCAGAGCCCAAATGTAAGAAAGACATTGGCCATGTTTATAAGTCTAATGGGGATTGAGATCCACAGCCCTAGCTTTACCTCCCTGGTGAGTATTAAGGGTCTGCTGAGAGCAATAGAGCTGTTGGAGCTTACCTTTAAAAGTGGCAAAAAGTCAAAAGAACCCCATTATAAGAGTGTTATGCAGCTTGGATACAGGGCCTGCAGCTAGCTTCCCTCAGGATGTGTGCAAAGGGACTAACACCACTGGTCCTAAAAATAGTAACAATAATAACTAATTGCTATGGGCTGTGCCAGACTTAATTAATTTTCCCCCAGTGCCTCATGAAAGCCTGCCCTGATAAGACTGTGGTTCAAGTGCCACCCTGTGGCAAGTCCAACCATTGCAACATTGCTTTCTATTTGACACTAGCTTTAAAAGCAGTGTCCTATTGCTGGTCCAAGTACTGATTCCTCTAGGCTGGATATTCAGACCAAAGGCATGGGAAAGGGGCTTAAGAAGGTCAGGCCAAAAAGAAGAAATAACTGGGTGAAGGGAAATAGTGCTCCTTGACTTTGTGCTGTTTATGTTCCTAAATGCTACAGTCAATAAGAGGCTTTTTGGACAGTGGGAGGTAGGTTATTACCATATGAAGAAAATGTGCTGTGAAAGATGAAGATAGTATAATGAGCTCCAAGGAGGTAAGGAATGATTGACTTAAGCCCCAAAAGTCTCCTTAAGTCTGCAGGCTTTTATCCCGCTCTAGTCCTAAGCACTAGTAACTCCTTTGCACTTAAAGGAAAGTGGAGTCTCATGCTTGCCTAACTCCAGAAGCTGGCAATATCGGAGAGATTAAAGTTAGAGATTTCTAGTGAAGTCCTCAGATGAAGCAACCCTGGGAGAAAAGCACCCTAAGGTCTTGTTTATATGGGTGCAATTGATGAGCATAATGCATTGTTCTTGCTTTCTGGAGAAACACCCCTGGGATATGAATGTCTTTTTCTTGTTTCTGAATTAGTCTGCAAAGCAGGCTAGACTAAATCAGGAGTGGATCCTCACATTGCTGAATAGGATGTGGGTCTTGGAGCCTGTCTGCTCTGTGTATCTGTGTAAACAAGCCTTGAGGGAGGGCGGCGGGGAAGGGGGGTGCAGGGTCTTTGCATCTCAACTGAGTACTGAGAGGAGCATCCCCTAGAGACTGAGCTCAATACTCAATATGTTTATTAATATGCTGTAATTGCAGCACATTATATTTTGGTACCTGTAATGATGTGTACTAACTCAATGTGCTGTAATCAGTGTGACTATTAGAGCAGTTAAATGTTTTTTGGTGACATTCATGTGCAGCGCTAGAACGTCTTCTGCATGTTTCCCCCTTCCCCCCCCCCATCTCTACCCACTGTCTTCCAAAAGTCCACTTGTTTGCATTTTCACAGACTTCTGTATTTTAGCTTCTTTTCAACCTCAGACAACACACAATAGCAGCAGTCTCCCAATGCCTGATGAAGAGTGTTTGTGCCTGAAAGCTTGCAAAGAGGTCTTTCAATTATGTAGTTGGTCTAATAAAAGATATTGCATCTACCCAAAGAACCTTTTCTGCACGTTAAGCATCTCATATAGATGTGCCCAGTGTCACACAGCTCGTGCCCTGGTGTGAAGGATGTGGGTGAAGGCAGGGAGCTGTAGCAGACGGCCCAGGGCAGGGAGAAGTTGACCCAGAGAGAACAGAGCATGTAGTCCTCTAAGCCTGCTTCCTTGGGACTATACCTTGAGGGACCTGGATGTAAAAAACGATTAGTTACACTACCATAATATTGGAAGTCCTGAAACTACCTAACACCAGATACTGTCAATGCCTCTAACAGCTGTTTCTGGTGCAGCTGTTAGGGATGCAACTGGAGCAGAAGGCTATCATTGCAATGACTATGCACTTAACCAGAGGGCAACAAAGTTACAGAATAGACAGGAAGCTGGTACTGATTTAAGCCTAACCTTGATGCAGTTAGCCTGCTGTTACAATGTAACACTGGAACAGCTACCAAGGGAAGTGAATGATCCAGTATTCCAGTACCTGCAGTGCCCTGTATCAGAATCCAGCAATCCCTGACCGTTCTGGGCTGGCTGGTTTCTCCCTGCTATTTCTTTCCTGGAGGCTGCATATCTGTGCCAAAGGCTTTGGGGGGCATGCCACTCCCATCAGAGGTGTGTCAAGGTAGAGGAAGATTAACTGGGCCCATGGCATTGAGCAGCATCTGCTTCAGCTTTTAGCTTCTCCTCGTGCCCTTCCCAGAGCTGGGAAGTGCAGAGATGCCTGGAGCTACCAAAGGGCCTCCATCTCTGAATCCCAGCACAGAAGCCACCAGAGGCTGGTTGCTGAACAGACTGCACTATAACTTGAGAGTGATAACAACCGGATGAGCCTTGGATCTGTTGGAGAGGTGGTGATGGGACTGGGGCTTGTGTTCCCGGGCTCACCTGGAAATGCTGCGTTGCTATTCCCACCTCCCGGGTGCTTCTTCCCAGCCCAGACGCGGAGAAGCTGCCCAGCTGGTTTCTCCGCAGGTGTGGCGCAGTTGCCCTGCCAAGCGTAGGAAAGCTGAAGGAAGAAGAAAGCGGAGAAGCATGGGTGGAACCACCTGCCCTGGGAAAGGGTGGGTTGAGTTGGGGGGCCTCCTTCCCCACCCTCCGCTCGGGGCACAAAGCCCCTGCAAGGCACGCCAGGGGGTAGTTGGTGTTATTGCTGGAGGGGGGCCTTGCTTAGGGCCAGCAGTCCTCCTCCTCCTCCTCCTCCTGCCCAGCAGCGGGCAGTTCCAGTGGTTGCTATGAAGCAGGGAGCCAAGGGGCTTGCGGCGTGATGAGGGCTGTGAGCCTGGCCCCTTCCAAGGCCTGGAAGGCAGCTGGGGAGCTCCCTCCCAGGCTGGGCTCCAGGCAGCACCCCGGGGGGGGCGCGTCCGAAAGAAGCGGGGAGCCCCCGGAGTTGGGGCTGGTGCAGCCCTCGGCCGCCCCGGCTGGGGGGCGGGGCCGTGGGGGCGGGGCGGGGCCGGGC